TAGATCCCTCTGCGCCGCCAGTTCGGTGGGTAGGTGAGGAGGGAGCGCGGTGATGGGGGAGAGGGGGCGCGCAACGACCACTTCATTAGGCGCAAAAAACCGCGCCGACGGCCGCAAGCATTACTTATGCAATTTCATTTGGATTCGCGACCGCGAGAAGCGGCTGGGAGTTGCCGGGGGGTGCTCGCACCGCGCGCCGCACCCCAACACCCCGCAAGCGGGTGCGACTCGCAACACGCGGAATGTCGACCATTAAATTATTTCTGCATTATTTGATTCGCCACCTCTTTCGCAATGGCGACGCATTTTTCATGTGGCGCGAGGGCGGTGCCCTACCACTCGCCCCGCTGCGTCCCCTCACTGCGCGCTGGGCACCCTTGAGGCAGGCACACAGCTGGAGGCAGCTCGCAGCAGCCGCGTACTGTCATATTGCTCTCAAACTACAGCGCTTACTTCTTGTACAAAGTGATACAAGACAGATACATTTTGTAACAAGCTGGTGTACACTCACCTCAATTCGTCCTAAACATGTAAGGGATTTAATTGATCCGTTGCTTTAGTAAAGTCGGAACCGTAAGACGTTTGTTCAGTGGCGATGCTGACCAGTCATTACTGAACGTTCAAACAAATGGCTTCTTTAAAAATCATACTTTAATCAAAATAAAAAAAATCACTTGTATTTTCACGAGAAGTACTGTTTTATCAGGAACTTCTTTCAACAGGAAGTGGGCCTTATTTCAATGACTAGATGTGTCTCAAATAAAATAAAACCGTTTTAAAATATGTACCTATAATACATATAGTAAACATATGAGATTAGAACAATCAGTTTAGTGGAGCAATACTTTTAGTAAGATTGATCTTTGATTGTCCTTACTTGTAATTGTATTATTCTGTTACATTTATGAAAGCTTATAAAACAACCATTCATGAACTAATTACTCCTCACTGAAGGCACTCCATTTAAAATCTGAGAGTTTCCCAAAGCATAGAGCAGGTTCTGAGTGTATGAGGACGACCACAGCGTTTCTCACACAAATAACGAACCAACCAAAAGAATTTTCCTCAGTTTTCCTGTGTGTATGTCTGTCTGCAAGGGCGGTTGTAACATAATTGACGTGACTTTGACAGAAAGGTAAATGATGCACGGAGCCATATTATCGGAAACTTTTTTATTTCTGTGCTGACGAAGTTATCGGCGACCGCAAGTTATAAATAAAACCTGTGTACATAGATTTGTCCCGCCGCCGCCGGCATGCGTTGTGAGGTTGTATATTTATGACAATTTTGGTTGTTTAGTAACCCGACGCTCGGGGGACACATATGTACATGTTACAAAATATTCATTCATTTTCGATTCGGTTAAAAGATAGCGTCACAAGATAAAGGTACACGCCTACTTATTTAATTTCCAAAATTACATGTTTTTTCTAGGTTTTTCCAGATCTTTCTTTTTGTTATTAAGCCTAACCGAACGTTACCATTACATTTACGTCGGCTTTAGTTATCATTTCATCTCGATCTGGAGAAAGATCAAGTTAACTTTCTAGTATAATATTATTATCAATTGTGAAGTGAAATCCTAACGTTATAAATGTCATCAGTTGAAAAAAAAATTCTCAATTGATCATTTGTAGAGAGAGGACTATCCCCTATATCAAATTTGATATTATACATTCTACAAAATTTTATCTTTTTTCTTTTTAATAGGTTTTTCTGAAGAATAGCCCTGAGAAGAATGGAAGACATCGGCGACGTGAATTGTCGCGTCCGCGTCCCCGCACCCGCGGACAAAACCTCGCCAGGAGAATAGCTATGATGTGGATTGTTTGTTTATTTGTTTGTACAGTTGGCACTCGGCAGCGACACCCGATCTAACGCGCGCACAATGATACCCACAACATGCTCCTCGCCGCCGCCGCCGCCGCCGCCGCAAGCACAAAGACGCCGGAAGTGCCTCGCGCCTTCGCCCCGCGCCTCGCACCTCTCGCCCTGCCTGCCCCTAATGACGTAAACTGAGATCGGTCTTTCGTTTCGTTTTAGACGCGCGCCTTATTGGGTTACCGTCTTTAATCAGCGCGCGATCGGCCGCGCTATCGATATCCTTTGATTTATTCAAATAAAAAAATGTGCAAAGTTGTCAGATTGCCGGCGGATTGGCGCTAACGAGTGGCAATGCGACACCGCGGCGTCATGACCTCACCCCCTCCCCCCCATTCCCCGCAGCGCCATGCGGACGGAACTTCTAAGTACACTTGCTTATTTATTCCCTTTTATACAAAGAGCACTGCAAAGAAAACAACATATGCTTAAGCTTTGTACGTGTTGCAGACCTAACTTAACGTTCAGTCCACATCAAGGTGAGGTAGGCCTAAAGTACACTGTACACCAACGTAATGCAGGCTTAATTAAAAGTTTCAGTTCAAATAAAATTATTGTCTACCCTGTCCGTGACAAGATCACTGTTACATATTATATATACTAGCAATTGCTCGCGACTAGTTGTTCGAATTAAAAAAAAAATATTCTATATAGTCTGTCTACCCTTGAATAGTGCAACTTCACAACAATGAAGTTATTCTACAAATCCGTTCAGTAGTGACAGTACCTAATGAAACGCAAACAAACATTAATATCTTTCCTCTTTATGTAATGTCTTATATAATGTCAGTAAAATAAGTAATAGTATAGTGGCTCAACAATATGGACGAAAATCTTTCTAGAATAGAATTAGAAAATGACCAGTGCAGCCGTGACAACGCGCACAACTCTATTGCCTAATTAGTGGATGACGCTGCACACCCAAGGGAGGAACACACACACACACAAGGGCGGACTTCAGCAAAATAAAAAAAGTCTGAGGTATTTTTCATTCGACTTGTGTGTGTGTTAAGTCCACATTTAAATGATGTGCTCTGTAATGTTTGTATATCGTACAATAACATTCACATACATCGGCGCTGATTTTACATTGCAACAAAGGCTTACGGTTGGGTACCGAGCAAAAACTTTTTATTACATATGGTGACGACCATTAGAATTCTCCGAAATAGCGAAGAGACCGTTACCCATGGCCATCCACAATTACAGACGCGTTGCCTACCTTTAATCGACGGAGAAAGGGACACATCTGTCTCCTCTGTGGACATGGAACCTTTTTAATATGGTGACCATGTATTTTTTGACTCAAAACGGTACATTGTTGTTTTTTTAGATAATTAATATGATGTCGATAAAAAATAAAAAAATTTTAAGTTCTTTTTATGACATAAAATCAGTAAGCTCAAAATACAAATTAAAAAATACATATAGCCGAAACGTTTAGTTATATATATAAGAGGAACAACTTTGCTTTAAGCAAGTACGAAACGCTTGGCACTTTTTTTATATCCGCCTTAATTACCAACATCGCCTTTAGTAGTTGAATTTAAACTGAGTTTTCTCAGATGTATTGAACGACGATGTGTTCTCGCCCTCGCACACCGCTCGCGTCGAATGACTTAACTGTTTAAATTTACGCGCGGTTTAAAAAGCGGGATAATTTGGCGTCCCGGCATTTTTTTGGGGGACGCCGAGACTGGTAACTATAAAACGGGATGTCTGGTCACATTATACATGTTTCACAGGTCGGGCCGGCCCATACGTACAGCAGATGTTATAAAAACGCCGCTCCATCTAGTGAAAATTTTGTATAACTGCCTGCCTGAATTAAACCATAATTGTCGTTGGTGAAAACACACTGCACATCGATACCAACAAATTATTTTTAATAAAAACCTTCAATATAGACATATTTTTATTTCATTAAAAAAATAACGTTAAAAAGGTAATGAGGAGCTGCTTTTTTTACTTTTTGTCGTATACGTCACAATAAATTACAAATATAAATAGTCTACGTAAATGTCAAATGCTACATTACGCTTACGTCAGTGTCAGTTTGAATGGTTGAAATAACCTTAAAAATCTAATTGAATACATAAAAACAAAATGTTTCGAAGTTTTATAAATAAATTGTGCTTCAATAATTTAAGTTGCGGATTTCACACTTCAGCAAGTTTAAATGAAGTGCAGCTACTGACGCGGCTGCGAGTCGTTGATAATTCAGAAATCGGCAAGAGAGCCATGGCCGAGGGGAAGCCACCGAAAGTTATATGTGTTTACAATAAAAAACGTACGTATTATTTTATCATATGATAGTGTAATAAGGAGTTAGTTTGTTCTTAAAAAGTAATCTTGACGTTTTCTAAAAAGATGGAGAGTACAAACAAGCATATTTGTTATTTAGGTATTTTAATATTATCCTTCATTGATTGACACCGATCTATCTCTGCGTTTAAAAAATAGAGTTTCAACGACGAATTTACTTTTTCAGGAATAGGCTACATAGGAGACAGAGTAATGGTGGCCATCAAGGGACAAAAGAAAAAAGGTATACTGGTGGGTCTAAAGCAGACCCAAAAAGTTAAAGTGCCCAAATTTGACAGTAACAATATAGTGTTAATAGATGACAACGGCACCCCGCTGGGCACGCGAATCCATGTCCCTATCCCCACCATCCTCCGCACCATACTTAAGGAGCGCACTCATGCTAAGGGAGCCGACTACACCAAGTTGCTGGCTATAGCAACTAAATTTGTTTAGTTTGTAATTTTGTTCTATTTAATAGTTCTAGTGTAAATAAATTTGTGAATAGTTAGTTTTATTTGTTTGTTTCTGTATAATCTCATTATAATGAATGTGGTGTATTTTCCATAATTTAGCTAATATTGTAAAATGAAATATATGGATGTTGGAAGTTATATCCAGAACAGCCTCATGATTATCATTGAAATCTTGCAGTAGAACATACACTTTTAAGCGACTATTTAATATTTTCTTTTATTCCATATTGATGGTGTGCCGGACGACTGCTTGTTTTAAAAATAATTTTAAATGAAACAGAAAGTTCTATGGTTGTTTATTTATCATCTAAAATCTACAATGATTAAATAAAACAACAATAATATTTGAAAATTTAATAAGACTCATTAAGTTCAGTTCCAATTGAGAATAGTTGTAGGAGTGGCGGTGACCCGCTCGCACAGCACCCCGTCTTACATTCTGTGTGTGTGCATTTCAATTGGCTTTCTATTATCTGTTGTCCATGAACATGTAATCTAAGTCACCAACCTGACTTTTAAAATAGATATTTAAATTGAAAATACTCTGCTTTAAAAACAATCTAGCGAGGAGCGAGGTTTGACACGCCAGTGACGCGACTTGATCGCTTACACTAACCAAACTCACAACATGAATGCGTCCAATACTGTTATTATTATTTTCCACACATAGTAACAGGTTGTGTAACCTGGGTTAGATTGTAACGTAGGTTGTGCGGGGACGAGGCGGGGTGGTGGCGGGGTGGTGGCGTTGCGGCCTCAGCGCAGCGCACACAACACCTGCGGACAAGGACAGGAGCAAGGTGAGGACGTGGGGAGGAACTTAGGAAGGATGGTGGATGTCGGTACAGGGTCTGGATCGAGCGGAATCAAACTACACTAACATATTACAGGTACAGGTTTGTCCCTCGATTCAACTTATTGGAATATGTACTTAAAATATCTGTTAAGTCGCGAGTGCGCCGGAGAACCTTTTCCACTTGACTAAGGATGGAATGAATGAGTGGAGGACACAGGGGAGGGGAGGGTGAACTTCTCATACATATCATGCGATATCAACAGATGCGAGGATATCGCGGGCGCGGGTCGACCGACGTCCGGACAAATAAAATACTAAATAACAACACTGATTAAAATTACCTCAACGAAATAATAAAATACATCTCCGATTTGTCTACGTATGTGGTTTCTGAATTATACTAAAAATGTAGTAAATTAATGCAAGTCCTAAAATAAAACTATTCTAATGGATGAGCGCGCGCCACGGCCTGCTGCTGCTGCTGCTGCTGCTGCTGGTGGTGGTGGTGGTGGAGGTCGAGGTGTCGCCCGCTAGCTGCACGTTACACAAACATTTTCCCGCGCGCCTTCACGAAATATTGTATTATAATATATAAAATATCAGTAAAACCATATTAAATAGTTCTGATTAAAAAATGGTACATGACCATTATATATAATAGCCGAGAGGCGCGGGGTGTCGCGGGGCGGCGCGGGGGGTGTCGCGGGGCGGCGCGACGTGTCGCGGGGTGCCGTGGGGCGGCTGCTTGTACTACTGATGTGACGCAAGTGTTACACCGCACTAAAGTGTCCCCTCGCATTTACTTAAGGAAAGATTCGCTTGAATTTCCGTAAAGTAAAACAAAATATTAGATAATAAATTCAGTGAGTACATTACGACTATTTGAGACTCATATGTGTATGTATGTATGTATGTATGTAGTACCGCCTGCACTGAATGCAACATATAAATGGCGGAACGACGAGGATCTTTTGGTGACAAATGAAATGTTTGTAAGTGGGCATAAGTTAAACCGCAGACGGATGGAAGTGGCGAGGTGTGCGGGCGCAGTGCCGGGTGAGGCCTACACGTCGACCACCATCTTCTTGTGTATGTCGGTGTTGCCCACCACGTCGCAGAACTCCTCGAAGGAGATGCGGCCGTCCTCGTCCTTGTCCGCGAACAGGATAGTCTTGTCCACGATCTGCTGCAGCTGCGTGTCCTTCAGGTTGTTGCCCACCATCATCTTGAGCACCTGCCGAGCACCGAGCGCCGAGCGCGTTCATTAGCTACGTCTCGTATACGTTCAAACGAATCGTGCGCTCGACTCCGTTCGCCGCCGCCTCACCTGGAACAGTTCCCCGTTGGAGATGTAGCCGTCGTTGTCCATGTCGTAGATGCGAAACGCGAACCGCAACTTGGAAAGCTTGTCGCCCTTCACGCTGAACTGCGACACGCCCTGGATGAACTCCTTGAAGTCCACCTGCAAACCGCAATCATTTCGTTATCAATTTTCTTGACAACAAAAACATAATTTCACAATACTTTTTCTATTTTTTGATACAGCTCCAAAGTTTCAAAGTTAGAAGTCACAGTACACGGGCAAAATCTGAACAGTGTGTGTGTGTGTGAATTTGTTGAAACAAAAATCAAACTGGTTCCGAGTTCAAAGTGCGCCTATTGATTTTGTCTTCTCCCTTTATCACTGTTTACTTTTCCTTCAAAATTAACTTACGATATTTCTCCCAGTCGAATTATGCTCACCTCCCCGTTGCCGTCGGCATCGAATATGTCTATGACGCGCTGCACCAGCGGGTTCTGCTGCAGCTCCGGCAGCGACATGAACTCGTCGATGGAGAGCGCGCCCGAGTTGTCCAGGTCCAGCTTCCGGAAGCGCTTGCCCAGCCGCCGGATCTCGTCCGCGTCGACTGCACACACTCGCATTACCACCGGCACCGCCTGCCCCACCGCCCAGCACGCGTCCGCATCCCCGGCTGGGGATGCGGACGCGGTCTGCGGTCTGCGGTTACCGCTGAGACCGCCGTGGATTTTTCGAAAATGGCAATGAACATATTTGACTGTCGACCACGGCCGCCTCCGCAGCTCGGTAACATTCGGTTCGGTGATACTACAATAATTTTATTTATTCCCGAACATCGTAAGAAAAAATAATATCACCGCTCCTGACGTTTCAAAATCCCACTCGAACCCCCATCCCGATCTCGAATAGGAGATGAATAATTCCTACAAACATCGTATTCACAACACATACAGATTGTCTAGCAACGACTACGCAAGCAACACACACACAGGCTCGCCGACATCCACATGCATTGCATTAGCTCAACTGGAAATCGACGTCTAGTCGGCGACGCGATATCAAGTATGAACCTATCGTCTACTATTATACATATAAGCGAAACCAATGCTTCTATGTTTGTCCCTTTGCCTTTCTAAAACTATGGATTGATATGGTATGATGGTATTCAAAACACGTCAAAGACGTTTTGTGAAAACAAGTATTTTAGACGATTTGCGATACTTTTTGGTTGTGCTGTAACATTATTATTTGAACTACTCAGATTTTTGATGTTATTTTCACTTCGGCATTGCAACGCGTGGCGGGTAGGGTGTATACAGAGAAAGACTGGAAAACGCACTCAAATGACAACTGTTAAGATACAATGAAAAGTTAAGAGTATTAAGCCCATTAGGTCTTTGATCCCTAATGTGCTGTTGATCCACGTAACGTCAGTGCTTGAGAAAGGACCTTTCTGAGAATGAAGTCCGGGATAAAGGCGAGACCGGGCGGCGGCGCAGCGCCCACGCGGCCCGCTCTCCGCCACGCGTTTCTAATATTATCTTTATTAGGCGGCCGGGGCGTCCTCTCACGTGTCAGTGCTCGGGCGTTCCCTGGCTCGCTGCAGGGAACATACATACGTATCAGAGATCCGCTCGAGACTGCCGTCTATCTGAGACGGTTGAGCCGACGCAAAGGAAAACGATATGTGATATGCCAAAAATATAACAAAAAGTTAAAGTACCAGCAAGCATTTCATTCCCCTCATTACAATCACAATGACATATGGTGCGGTCGGCGCGCCGCGCATCTTCCCCTATACGGGTTTACGTATACATATGTATTTATTGCCAATCTTTAGTTCTAACTGCAAATATTAAAAATATTTATAACGTATTTTAGTAAAAACCATGTAAACTGAAAAAATTTCCTGTTAACAAAAAGGTAACAAGAGTTTTGTAATATTTTACGTTTAGCTAAAGAATAAATAATGATAACGAATGAGCAACCCGCGCGAGATATAGGACGTAAGTAACGGCCAAGGTCGACACCATATGCCATACTCTGCGTAGCTCCGAGCCCGGAGCGACTCCCGAGCCCGGTACAATGTTCTAATGGTTACAACATATGTCCACCAAATACACTATACACTATGACTGATCTAGAGGCAGACGTGAGGCGGATGCACTAGCCACGGCACGGCGGCTTCATGTTATGTATGTCCAGAACTATCTTTGTGTCATTTAAAGAGTACCCTCAAGTATGCAAGTAAAGAAACGATAGTTCTCAATTCAATTCTCATATAAATTTAATTAAAGCATACGCATACAAAAATAGTTGTGGAGCGAGTGGTAGTAGTGTGTACGTGCGGTGTGTCAACATGGCAACATGGTGATGACGACTGGTCGCGAGTGACACTACGACACTCACAGTTCTCCACCTTAAAATCAAGGCAGTTAACACGGGCTGAAACAAATTTGCCGTTATCTTTTGTTTGCACACCCTACGCTGCACTTGCTTGCTTTGCTACACAAGACTCATTGCAAGTCGGAACTCTATCCTCTGCTCTCTCTCTCTCTCTCTCTCTTTCTCAGAAATAAACACAAACTGTGAAATCAAATCTGGGAGTGGTGGTCAGATAGATATTAGTAATTCATTAAAGCAAGTTATGTTGTTTTACATAACATATTATAAATTATTGTTAATTGCAAGTGAGATAGTTATAGACAGAAGGAACAAAAAAAAACTAGAAAATGCTTATTTGATACTTACAGTTTGAACACAGTTCCATAGGAATTGAATTTTCATTGCCCTGAAATTATATTTTGTTTCAAAATACTTTAATCAAATGATTTTGTTTAGCAAAATTAATATCACCTTTTCACTCATTGTAGTAGTAATTAATTTAAATATGTAATAAAAACTAAAACTATTTATTAAAATAATCAAAAGCTATGCATAAAAATCATAATTATGGATTAAATTAATTTATGAAGCACATCAATGTACATATTAGACACAGAGGTGCCACATAAGCTAGGGATTGTATTACCACAGGTCCACTGTGTCCTACAGTGTAGGCAACAAACTTCTGACTACTGAGTATGCACTAAGGAATTAAGCTAAACTAATATTTTGAACCCACACAATAGAAACATTTCCTATTAGAAAATTCATTTTTCATGACCTAGATTATAGATTATGTTAACAATATTCCGAACCAAATAGCAACATAATTTATTCAGAATTTCAAAAATTATACCACATTTTTTTTAATTGCCTATTTAAATTTTGTAATCACGAGAATTAACATTAATAGCAAAACTTTGTTAACGTTCCGAGGTTGTAGTTACAAAAAAATATATAATTTTTAGTTGTTAGTTGGATTTACGGCTATTTTGAAAGACACATACTATATAATAATGTAAGCACATAATAAGTTAAAAAGAATGGCCAACAAACGAATACACCCTTCAACCACGATCATTCAATTTTTACTTCATTAACGCATCTATTTAAAAAATAACTTACCATTTTGTTTTAATTTACAGACGCAATAAAGCAAAATAAATCTTAGAAATATATTTTGTTTATTTAAATTATTGCAAATATTACAATTTTTACTGACTACTCCACTTTGCAAAATCGCACCATAGATTAAAGCAAAGAGTAAGATGACATGACAGAACCATTTCTCAAACACGGGCTGGCACGGGCCATCGAGCGAAATCGGATATTCACAATAAAGTCGGTAAAAATTACTCAAACATAAAGTTTTGCTCCAAAAGGAACATCTTATCATATTTCTTTAAGTACTTAAAGGTCAAAAAGACATATTTTATTTTGTCTTTGTAGCCTTACAAAAAAATAGCATTTCTACCATTCCGTCATAATTTACATCTTTGTCAATGTCAATGTCACAAACAGCTGTCACTTTAGATAATTTTCCTTCCCTCCCCTCCTCAGGATCTTTCTCTTTCCGACAAAGTCAACCATGGCGGCCGGGGTGGGTTTAAACTTGGCTTAAATTATCTTGCTAATCGCAGTGTTTTTTGAATTGCAATGAATAAGAATTTATCGTTACATTGCGTATTGTTATTACATAGCCTTATTTTTTGTAGGTACTTTATACTTATCCGACAAACTTCCGTGCTTATAAGGCGTTGATCGCCGCACAGTACTCCGGGGTCGATCTTAAAGTTGCAACGGGTTTTGTATTTGGTGAGACAAATAAATCTGAAGAGTTCCTGAAAAAATTTCCAGCGGGCAAAGTGAGTGCTTCGTAAAAAGTTGAGTGTAAGTTTTGAGTTACGAAGCCAGATGTGTTTACCGGTGACGTGTAATATTTGCCTACTATTTTAGGTACCGGCTTATGAAAGTGCTGATGGAAAAGTTGTCCTCACAGAAAGCAATGCAATAGCTTATTATGGTAAGTCTTCAGTATCTATTATGAACATGTTTTAAAAAGTAATTTATAATTGCATGGCATACTATTGTTCTTATTAAAACTGTAATTTAACCTCTTATGAAATAGTACTCAAGAAAATTATACCTCTAGTTTTAGACGAAGTGTTTCATACAAGTTTGACATTTAATTAGACGAGACGATTTTTGAAATGTCAGTTCTGTGTGACACAAAAGTATGCCAGTACAATGATAACATTTCCCAAATTCTGGAGAATGTAGTGCACAAAAAGTCAAATACATATTAGTTAACGTCTTCATTACTGTTTTTTTATTATAAAATTTAGCTAAATAAATTGAAACTCAAAACATTTTAACAAACACAATATTGTGTTCTTGTGTTACAAAATAGTGTTTTAAAAAATGTCTTGACTATTTATAATATTAAACTTTACTAAAAACTAAGAAATAAACAGATGAAAAGAGGTTGTATTTGCTTTACTTTTTATGTGAGTGTTCTTATGTAAATTACAACAACAGGGACATTTACCACAAAAGGACCACTGATCTTCAGCCTTGTAACATTTTATGCTCTGAAAGGTCCATGTAGAGGTATAAATCAATGGTGAAATATCTATATGAAATCTAATCTATAGTGTATCTATTTAAAAAAGATTAGTTTGACAATTCACTAGAGATTCGTTGAATAAAATTGGTTATCAAATTTTTCGTTTTTCGATGGTTGTTACAACAGAACTTGCAATCGAAAATTTGGGATCATTGATTTTGATTCACAATATAAATAAAATTGTTTCTTTTTATGACAACTTTATTCTTAAAAACTATGTAGAAATATAAAATCAAAGATTGACATGTTGAGAAAAAAAGAACTGTTTTTAATGTTTATTTAGTTAAGTGCACAAGATAAAGCTAAATATCTGTAACAAATTCAAAAAGTAATAAAATACATCAGTCATACTATTTATTTGTTGGATTAATATAATATTAACACAAGATCGTCTTCAATCGTTCATAGTTGTTCATAATGCGCATACATTTGACACAATGACAACCGTTCAAGAAGTACAAAATTAATCCTCATACCAAATTAATTTGATCTTTCATAGACGTCAGTTGTCAAAGTAATTGCGACTTAAATAGACAAACTATAATTTTAATATAGAGATATACATTAAATCTAGTATCACTAGGGTTTGTCTTTGAGTTTGCAACAACAATGACTATGTATGAATATTTATTATTAAAATGAAAAAGAAAGTTGATAAGTATTATTGCTTAAGGTGAATCATTCTTATCAATGATTTCTTAAAAAAAAATTTAGAAAGGATAAAAGGTGACATGCAAAAGTCTGATAAAAAGAGATCCTTTGCATAATGTCACCAATTTGTTTTTATTGAATTGAATGATTGCAACAGTGGCAAACGGTAGTCTGCGAGGGGAGAATGCGGAGACACAGGGCCGTATCTGGCAGTGGGCATCATGGGCAGACAGCGAGTTGCTGCCCGCATCCTGCGCCTGGGTCTTCCCCTACCTTGGTATCATGCAGTTCAACAAACAGGTTTGCAGTCCAATATTATCAATTCATATTATAATAGTGATTAATACCTAGTTTGTTTCCATCGGTTGGTTGTTACTTGTAAGGCAAATTTAAATAATAATTATATTTGCTTATTTCATGTTAATAAATATCTGTTTCAGAATAAAAAGATGATGTGCAAGAATGACCCTTGCCATCGCTTTCTATTTTGAAAAGTAGCAAAATATTCTATGAAGGTCCTTATAGATAATTTGGAGGAATTAGAGTTAGTGTTGTGGTGTTTGTGCAGAACGTGGAGCGCGCGAAGAGCGACCTGGTGGCTGCGCTGCGGCTGCTGGACGCGCACCTGCTCACACGCACCTTCCTCGCCACCGAGCGCGTCTCGCTTGCAGACATCATCGTATTCTGCACACTGCTGCACGCCTACCAGGTGCTTCCTTTTAACCGACACACCTTTGGCCTTCAAATTGTATTAATAGCAATAAAATTAATATTGATAGAAGCAATTGTTGTAACTTCAGCACGTGCTAGAGCCAAGTCTGCGCGACTCGCTGGTGAACGTGACGCGGTGGTTCAACACGGTGGCGCACCAGCCCCAGGTGGCCGCCGTGGTGGGCGAGCTGGCCCTCTGCGCCGCGCCCCCCACCTACGACCCCAAGAAGTATCAGGACCTCGCCCACGGAAAGAAGGTACGTTCACTTAGTCTGCTACAATGAAAGTGAGTTTTATTTTAAAGACTTGTTTATGTTGAGTAGAACCACGTCACTATAACCTTGAATGGAATTTGACAAAATTGTATTATTTTCCACAGGAAGGCGGCAAGAAGGACAAGAAGGTGGAGAAGAAGGAGCAGCAGCCCAAGAAGAAGGCTGAGGCCCCCGCCGAGGTCGCGGAGCTCGCCGACGACCTCGAGGAGAAGCCCAAGGAGTCAAAAGACCCGTTTGACTCCATGCCCAAAGGGTAATTATCTCAGACGGTACTTGCTTTGCTGCGAACGAATGGCGTTAATCAGTTAAAATTATAATACGATTAATATTTTTTTATAATTATATTTTGATACAAATTTTGCAGCACATTCAACATGGACGACTTCAAGCGGTGCTACTCCAACGAGGACGAGGCCAAGTCCATCCCGTACTTCTGGGAGAAGTTCGACCCCGAGAACTACTCCATCTGGTACGCGGAGTACAAGTACCCTGAGGAGCTGGCCAAGGTGTTCATGAGCTGCAACCTCATCACCGGTACGTGTGGATGCCGGGGCCGGGGCCGGGGCGGGGGAGTGTGCCAGCGGGCCGGCTAACGCTCGTGTGCGTGTTGCAGGCATGTTCCAGCGGCTGGACAAGATGCGGAAGCAGGCGTTCGCCTCCGTGTGCCTGTTCGGTGAGGACAACGACAGCAGCATCTCGGGCGTGTGGGTGTGGCGCGGCCAGGAGCTCGCCTTCCCCCTCTCCCCCGACTGGCAGATAGACTACGAGTCGTACGAGTGGCGCAAGCTGGACCCCGCCAGCGAGGAGACCAGGAGGCTGGTGCAGGACTACTTCTCCTGGAGCGGCGTGGACGGCAAGGGCCGCAAGTTCAACCAGGGCAAGATCTTCAAGTGATCTCCCTCCAGCCCGCGCTCCGCCACTATTTATTTACGCCGCTCCTTTTCGACGAACTATAATATAAACTTTTTATTTTAACAATCGTTTTCTTCATTTCCCTTCGAAGCCGTATCTATACATTATACCTGAATGATAAAGTTATATGTTCGCCGTGACACGTGCTCGGTGAGGAGGTCGACACTTATGTCATTTAAAATAAAAATTGCTAACAAGTAATAGATCTTTTATCTTACTAATGTTATAAATACCAATGTTTAGATGAATGGATACTAGTTTTTTGAAGGTATCTCCAAAATGGGTGAAGAGATCTCGATGAAATATGGAATACGTTTAGAACATAGTCTGGAAGAACGCACGCGAGCGACGGCGATAAATAAATAATCTGTTTATATCTAGGCTTTAGATTGACAGGAAAAGTCGGGGAAAATGAAGGAAAGAAAATGCTTAAAGTGAAACACATTATTGAAAAGCAAAAATTTATATTTTAACTTTCAGACTTTTGCCTAAATCGTAGAAGTAATTTAACATCGGTACATACTTAAATATTATTGCATTTCAAAACTAATTATAAAAGAGCTAACAAAAACCCCAGGGGAGGGGGAGCACCTCGCCCCCGCCCTCCGCCCTCACACATCTCAACCTATTAGTAATGGAACTCGCCACCGAAACCTCTAAGCGCGGTGCCATCGTACGCCTAAAGTGTTCACACGCGGCCTTCGAACAAACGTGCACACTCTCTTACCTCCATCTATATATCTTACAAGAGATTAAGAAAATATGTAATATCTGAAATACAGTGATTTTGAATAGATCCAAAGTAAGTCGGTCGACGGAGAAGACGAGTAGCGCCGCGCCCCTCCTTTGTCATGAACATGACGGTAAAATTGGAAGTTTCTAAAAGATTTGAAGCATATTAAGGTGCTCTCTCCTCGTTTGATAGCGGATACAGCCCCCGTGAATGCACGCGCGGCTCCACACCCCCCGCCCCCGCACAACCTATAGCCAAGTAGATAACACATCGAACTATTCAATAAACATCAAAAATGCAAGTCACAGCGGCCAGTAGGAGAGTAACAAACGACGCTATAAATACAATAATACATCTATCTGACCAATAGGTAAATGTACATCTCAAAAATGATAACATCTCGCGACCAGTCATTCAACTTAATACAGTGTTATAAAATAGAAAGTGAGGGTGCGCGCGGGGGGCGGGGGGCGGCCGGCGTCAGCGCGGCCTCGCCGTCTGCGCGCCCCCCGCGCCCGCCGTACCCCCCGCGCCCGTCGCGCCCCCCGCGCCCGTCGCACCCACCGCGCCCGTCGCGCCCGCCGCGCCCGTCGCGCCCGCCGCGCCCGCCGCGCTGCGCCGCTCCACCTGCTGAAACAAACATTATTGTAAGATGTAATGGCGCCTGAGAACAAACTATTATGTACATACTACGGGGGACTTCTCGTCTTCTCGTTGGGCATTTTCCGCAGATGTTCATAACGCGAATTATTATTTTTTTTTAAGTGACAGATTATTAATAACACTTTATTAATACTCCTTATAACCATTCTGACTAAGATAAATGGCCACGTAGTCTATGGTATGGTACACGACAATTGTCTAATGGAGGGAATCGAACCCACTGTACGGTAGACTACAACCACTAGGCTATTGGCGCTTTTTGTTATTCACAGGAACTAATAATTTGAGTGGATTTGTCGCTTACGTGGTCGGCACGGTCGGGGAAGTCTGCGCGGGATCGCCGACGCGGCGCGTGCTCGTGCGGCGCGTGCCGTGGGGTGTGCGCTACCTGCACGCTCACCTCGACGCGCGCGCTCGCCTGCGTGCACGGCACCGAAGCCGCTCCGTCGCTGCCATCACAAACCTTTATATACATATATGAAATATTTCAAGTGTAATATCCTATTTCCGCTCCGTGCATAGAGTACCGATTCGTCACTGAATACTAAATACTGCTATGTGTAAATAAGCACCGAGACGCAGCTTTTATACGTGGCGGGTCCGTTGTAGCAGATGCTTGTCTTGACCATTAAGACTGTCACCTCGGGTCGTCGGGCGGATCATCTGCGGCAAGCAGCGGCAGCTCGTCGTCGCGGCGCGCGTGGCACTCGCAGCGGCACTGCTCCGGCGCGGCGTACTGCGTCCCCGCGCTCGCACTCTCATCCGCGTCCGCCGCGTCCGCCGCGCTCGCCGCGCCGGTCCGCTGCGGCGCGGGCAACGTCTGTATTCTCTTCGGCTGCTTCCGACGCTCCGGCACGTCCTCGAAGTCTATCCAGTCCGCCTTCTTCCGCATCTCACTCGCGACTATGATTTCTGAAGTGAGTTACACGGGTGTTTCTTAAGCGCCGCATCGAAAACTTTGTGCAAAAAAGTTGATGTAAAAATGAATTACAGCACGCCGAAGTTGGAGAAAGAAATAATTCAAAACATCAACTTAACTCCCTAATCGTATGGAAATAATTGGTAGTTAATAATAAAAATAATGAAACTTTTATTTGAGACACATAGTCCAAAAAAAAATTGATTGACAAATAAAATAAAAGTACAGCACATAGCTTATACTGGACAGTCCAAATGGCAGCTGTTGCGTTCCCAGCTGCAAATGTATTATTTTTTTATCCTTATAGAAACGAAGTAGCTGTCTCCGAGTTTGTTCTCAATTATTATATTTGTAACTAATGTTTTAAAATATAAAAATTACCATCTCCTCCACTACTGGTTCGCGGGCGCTCGGGACGTGGCGGCGCGGAGGCCGAGGCGGTGCGCGTGCGGCGCGGCAGTCTGATGCGCAGCTTGTCGGGCGGACCCCCGGGGGGCGCAGCTGGCGCGGTGGGTGGTGCTCGCGGCGGTGGTGGAGCGGGCGGGGCGGCGGCAGGGCGGGGCGCACGCGGTCGCTGCACGCCCGCCACGCGCACGCCACTGCGCTCGCGCACCGGCACCATGGGCAATGCAAGGGACCGCTCCGAAGGCAACGTCGTCGGCACAAACGGCAACTCTTCCTCGAAGGACTCTTGCACGACGAGCCCACGGCGCTCTACCTCACTGGCGCTGCGCACCACGTGCTCCGCCTCATCGGTCTCCGAGCCGGAGGAGTCGCGTTCCGGCGTGGCTCCGCCGTCGCAGGGAGTTGGGCACTCGCCCGGCGACTCTGCTGCGATGTAAGTATCACGCAAGCCGGTACGCGTTTCATCGCTATCGACGAAGCTCGGGATCGACTCAGATATTTCACTCGTTACGCTGGGCGTTTTAGTTATACTGAATTGAGTACTGAACACTTGTTCTCTGCTTCCGACGTGCGTTGTGAAAATTATGCGCTCCCTTCGTTTCCTGTATTCATCCTCAAGAACGCGTGCGGCTTCGGAGGGAGCGGGACCGGCCGCTCGCTCCGGCCTCGGTGCGGTGTCGTTGTATAGTGCGGCAGAATCGCATGTATCACTACCGACTGCGACACATGGCGGACTACCTCGCTCCGGTGACGGTTCTTTTGTGCCGGGCGACGACGAGACATTTCGCGTCTGTTCGTCCTCAGCAGACTTTTCAGTCGGCGAATGTAACGGTATAATAATACTACCGTCGGGCAGAACGGTACGCTTGGTAGGTTTCTTGACCGTGCTCGTCGAAGCCGCGGATTGTGGCCGCTCGGGAGGCGGGCGCGTCTGCGGGGCGGAGAAAGGGCGTGCTGCGCTCCGCGGCCGACAGTCCACCGCAGCAGCGCTCTGCCGCTCTCCCACCGCCGGGTCGGAAGCCGCCGCCGCGCTGGGACTGCATATCTCATCCGATGGTGTTCGCAATGGAATATGAATAATACCATCTTTGGAGTCCTCGTAATATTTGAGTTTTTCCCCTCGAATTGATTTATCCGCCTGTTGATGCGGGAAAGAGCGCTGAGGCTGGACGCCGGGCGAACAGTCTCTTGAGTTCGGCGAAGGCGATGTGCCACTCTTTTTCGGAGTTTTAAACAAAGAAAGCACGGAACCTTTGATTTTCGAGGCCGACGTGGGCGTGGTGGATCGGTCCCGACTCTTGCTACGGGACCGGCCCTCGTTCAAACTTTTTTTCCGACGTAGCACGTCACACGGCGATTCGGGCGAGGCGATGGTTTCACGAGATTTAAATAAGGAACAAAAGGAAGATTTGCGCGAGACGGGAGCCCCCGATGGTGAGGGCGTGCGGCAGTCGCGCGGCCTCGCCGGCGCTGGACTACTTGCCGCCGAACGCTGCCGCAGCTCAAGGGTGGCAGGTTTGCGCGCCTGTTCGCCCCCCACAAGTGTCCTGTCGCTCTCGTCGTCGTCATCCTCGTCATCGTACTCGTGGTCGGGTTTCAATTTAATTCTGATTATATCCTTGGAACGATTTGAGCTTTTACACTTATCGGACTGCAATTGTTCAGTGCGTTCCCTCGACCGAGCGCGACTCTCTTCCACGCGGGCTCTATTTAGCGTTTCTTTCTGTCGCTTGTCTTCGTCTAAGATGTTGGAACAGTTAGCTCGTATTACAGGTGCTATTGGGAGTGGCGCGGCTGGCGAAGTCAATCGCGGTGTATTGGGGGGACGCGTGCTCTCCACGGTTACCTCCGTGCGTACTTCACGATGATCTCGGGCATCTAAAGGTTCGGGAACGGCGTCTCGGGTAGCCGTTGCGGAGGTCGCAGACGTAGGAGTCGATGTAAGCGGAGTAGTGGTAGAAGGGGGTATCACGGAGACGACCGAAACAGAATCCGGCGCCGAAGACCGCGGCGAGAGAAGTGTCGGAATGGGATCGGAGGTTAACTTTGCGATTTCGAGAAGCCGCTCCTCCACGGCAGCGGCACAAATTTCTGGATCGGTTTCGATCGGTTTTGGCCCACAGAACGATGTCTCCAGTAACATTTTGTGAGGCGAAGGAGACCGTGATGTGCCCGATACCACGGAAAGATGAGATACGCGACTGGTGTGGCTGAAAGCTGACAGCGCGGAGTGTGCGGAGCATTGCGAACCGACACTGGAGAGGCGGCTCGTTCGGCCCGACACAGCCAGTAGCGCGGCCTCGGAGCTTTGGCTATCCTTGCGCGAGTGACGGCGGGACACGGAGGGCTGAGGCGCGGGTCGAGTTTCCCCTGGAGCACCCTCCAGGAACGCCAGTTCCTCTGTAGACGAGCGGAGTTCCAGTGCCCCATCTTCACGAAAGCCCAGCTCCAGACGTGCACGGCCCCCTTCCGTGCCACCGGTGAAAAGCGCGAGCTCAGGAGAACTGTCGCGTGAATCTTGGTGGCTGGAACTGGAGGCGCGCGAGATGTCGATACGCGGCGCCGAAGGTGTCAGGCCACCCGCCGCAACACCGTGCACTGCCGGCGAAGAATGCGAGCGCGCACGCTGCTCAGGCGGTGCCAGAGAGTTGCAGCTCGTCTGGCCTTCGCCTTTTGACGAAGTGCCCGCTGAGTCCTCTCGTATTTCCGGAAGCCGAAGGGTCTGCTTAGTCTCAGGACTGGACTGAAAGAACGAGAGAAATACGTTCACAACTGAGCTATGACGAGGGAATGACGTCAGTTTGAAAGGCCATTTGCACTCACCTCTTCCGAAACGTCGTGGTCAAAGGAGGCAATAGGCGCGGGCCCGCGTCGCGCCCGCCGCTCGGGCGCGCCGCTGGCAGCCATGCGCCCAGCTCCCGCTGCTTCGTTATAGCTCCCTCATGCTCGCCCGCTCACCCGCTCACCCTCTCACCCTCTCACGCGTTCACCGCTGCACCGACACACTCCACATTTGTAAAGTCATAAGTCGTATCGACCGATCGGTCTCATTAAGTAACAGTCTCGTGTTGCACCGAAAGTTGTTCATTCGAAAACTACTTACATAACTCAACAATGATCCCACCGATGACAATGACACGTCGGCGAGGGCAATCAGAATCATTTAGATTATTTAACACAATGTAACGTGATAGATTTTGACGTTGAGGCGTGAGGGTCGGCGGGCGGCCGCGGGTCGGCGCTGGCCGCGAGCCGCTACTCTACGCCATCGAGCGCCGCGCCGAGCCTGCGCGGCCCGGCCACTCCGCGCATGCGCCCCGCCGCGCCCCCACCCAGCCCGCGCCCGCCGTCGCACGGACTCCGTACTCCGCTAACCTACATATTGCACTCGGCCTTGGAACTCTAGTTACCCTCTGCACTATTGATAAAGGACACTTATCGCAAAACAAATAATTTAATTATTCAAATAACCGAGTGATCGTTACTTAAACTATTCATAAAATAATGACGTTGGAATTGTCGTTCCAAAATTGTTTCTAAGTGAGATTCATTTTATTGTATGTTACTAATATTATATTATAATGCGAAAGTTTAGATTGATGGATGAATGAATACATGGATGGATGAAACTATCTCCAGAACTTACCATAGATGTAGAGCAAAGTTTGGAAGAACACATATGACAATGAAAATCTTATCAGTTACGAAGTCGCGGGCAACAACCAGTCTAAAATATAACATTTAAATACAGAAATATTAACCAAAAATACAACTGTCTTTCTACTCGTATGTCACCCCTAATGACACTTTTATGATCATCCAAATAGCGAATTCCCTTTCCAAGCCAAGCATTAATGCCATCTCGATCGCGAAGAGATATGGCGGTCTGTTCGCTGTGACCGCGTCAGGTCTCTTCCGGACCATTTGCAGCTCATATTTAACCTTCACAACTTTCAATATTTTAATGACCTAATTTGTTTTAAGACCATCCATGCTGTTCATAAAAATAATTTAATTAAAGAAAATTTTAACAAAAATAAAGCTGCCATCTTCGGTTGTGACAAGGTTAGAAGAGTGTGGGAGTGTTGACACAGTGACGAGAGTGTTGTCCGCGGGCGCGTTGTCCGCACGCTATTATGAAGTTGCATTCGAGTGTTGGCATCTAAGCTGCGACGTCAAATAAGTTTAACCAGGTGCGGGTGCGGCTTCGGCACTCTCGGCTCGTGTAAGACAAGCATTTGCTCTTCTGCATTTAGTCGTTTCCATCAGAAATCCACAACCTTGTTCAAGGCAAACGTTAATATTCGCTTACAATTTATTATTACTGTATATTTTTCTTTTGATAGTTCCAATCAGCAAGCAGTCCTAGCAATGTGGCAAGCACTGTAATCTGAAGTTTACCAATAAGGGTGGAGGGGTTCGAGTAAAACCAACGTCGCCATTACATGTGTTTATTGACAACAAAACAATGGTAGGACGAGGCGAGCCCGCCACCTCGCCGCCGCCTCGCCGCCGCCGGCCCGCTGGCCATCCTATAGGATTGTAACTGATGAATATCATAGAATTTAAAGACCTGTCTGTATGTGTAATATTTCTACATTTTAAATAATTTATACGAGAGGTAACATTTTGCTGAAGACCGAAAACTTTATTACGTATAATAGCAGTTTGAGCTCATATATTATAGATTTGATAATGCATAAGTATTATTAATATAATACACGGTATGGTATATGTATACAATCGACAACAGGGCAGGCATGCCATGGAGGGGGGACACCCCACCGCATCCCACTGTCGCATCATTTCTCTCCAGTACGAATACATATTTGACCTCCGGTGGAGGGGTGCAAGAGGAGAGGGTGCGCTACCTGCCTGCACTAAACACATACAATACCTTAGGAAAACCGTAACGTATATACATTTTATGTTATAGTCATATGCGAATATTTATAGTTTCACTAATATCTGCTACATAAATATATATTTCACTACGTAACTTTGAACTGTGATCTGGGAACACTGACGAAATAGACTAGAGAAAGTCAAACTCTGCGCTCGCTACAACATTGTAAACTCATTAATATCATAACATACATACTATATTACTTACATACAGTTCAGTTTGACATTGCACGAATTTCTTGTTGTTTGCTATCAGTACTAACATACTACGCTACAACACAGAGCGGCCGCCGGCAAGCCGCGCCAGGCCGCACCAGGCCTCACCGCACCGCGTCGCTCCGGCGCCGACGACCGCTTCAACCAGCCTATCATATATTCTATACTTCTGACAACATTTTTAAGGTATTATTATAAAATACTCTTATATAATAGCGGTGTCCGTCGTGTGAAGACACCACGCGGCAGCGCCGAAAGACATCTGCCGCCAGCAATAGCTTTTATTGGCATTCACAATCGTAACGATACAATGTTTTAGGTAAAGGGGAACGTGGGTACAAAAATATTGATTACACAGTGTAACTCTTGAAACAACAACACAACATTGACACGAGCCCGGTCACGTGCTACGTGGCATACTACGCTATACGGCCGCACACCGCACCACAAGCCTACAACTACAATATTTTTATTTAAGGTAAAAAATGTACGTTGACGTCAATACTATGTTTGCGGCAGTAATCTCAATAGCAGTGAAGAAAATTATTACAAACAGAATGCATCATATCTCATAACCTGCCACGTAGAAAATCATACATGATATTCTTATAGTGACAATTTGCATTCGTGCATTGGGCGACGGGTTGCTTAGCAACAGGTACAGAGGCGGCCTGGTGCGGTGCGGAGACCAGTAGTCTTGTAGCGCAGGTTGTAGCTCGGTGCGCAGCGTTTCCTGCTCAGTGAACTTAGTCGGAGTCCGAGTCGGAGGAAGGGGCGCGTTCTGGGCCCGCGGGCGCAGCGGCGGGCGATGCGGCGGGCGGAGCGGCGGGCGCGGCGGCCGCCAGCGCGTACGCCGGCGCCGCCTGTCCGCTCGTCCTCTCGATGCCCACGCTGAAACAAACAAGCGTTCCACTCCACATTCCACTCTTACCATATCAAATCCAGGAAACCGGCCTGACCGTAGTCGAACTACGTGTATAAAACGTATCCCTTTTAGAAAAAAACAAAACGCAATAATGTCAAATTGTACGAGTGCTTTGACAGTTTAAATCTACGGTTCAATTTACAAGAACGTTTTACTGAATCCAATAAAAACAATATTATACTGGAAGGTGGGTTTTTCGATATGAAAGACTCACAACGCCAAGATCGCAGTAGCGCGGACGTGAGCGCGGGCGTGGGGACACTTACATGTACTCGTGGCGCGCGAGGTAGCGCACGTACTTCTCGGGCGGGTCTCCGTCGTGGTTCTGCAGCGAGACGGAGCGCACCGTGGTGTGGCTGACCTGCGCCGCCGGCATGGTGAACTCGACGAAGGCGTGCGGCGCCAGCTCCGGCGGCACCTGGTCGTACGAGGTGAGCGCCATGCGGCACACAAGGTTGTGCGTTGTGTACGCGCCTGCGAAATACTTCCGACTATTGATTGGGTTCTCTGGTTATCGTATGCGAGTTGAAAAAGAGGTAGGCACCTTGGCCCTCCTTGGGCAGGCGCGGCATGCGCCACACGATGGCGCGGTGCTGGTGCTCGTACTTGGCCTGTCCCGACGTCACCTCGATCAAGGACTCCTGGAGCGTGTCCACGGCGCCCAGGAACCGCTCTATGCCTTTTATCTTGCCGGTGCGCCTGTAAAATAAGTGCTATTAATGAATCTTAAAATGTTTTATGTGTTAGTCGAATACATATATTGTATGATATATTTGTAAGACATAGTTAAGTATTTGTTTCGTCGTCCAGACCAAGTGGTGTCCGCCATTCGAGCTCCAGGATAAAAATAGGTAACTTTTCACTATCACTGCTAATCATTTTTATGCAGTAAAGCAACTTCAGATACAAAGTAATATTTCCAAACGCGGATGCGTTATTCAAAGGACTTTTCCCCCACTTGCAAGCGGTCTGCGAAAAAAAAAGTTATCGAAACTCGCTTTTAAGTACAGAGTATAGTAGCCTTGGGGGTTAGGTTAAGTAGACATATAACTATGATATTCACATCAATGGATCAAAACTTAATACGTAAAAACACGCTCTTATCGGGCTCCTCTAAAGTAAGTCCTCTCGTAAGTCTGTCGCGATACTTGTGATGATAGTTTCGCAAGTACGAGTTACAATTGTAAAAGGTAAGTACCGGTGCGCAGACTTCACGGAGCCGTAGCGGAAGTGCTTCTCTACACGAAACAGGTATATCCAGCACTCGGGGATCGGGAAGCGGATGGCGACGTCCTCGCAAGGCACCTGTCCTAGCGCGCGCGACGCGAACCCCGGCACCAACACGTCTGCGCGAAGCTCCACCTGCGCACGGGCAATAAAACGTTCTGCTTCATTGAAGTCTACAAAAATATCATTTTGTAATGACTAGTTCTATCTTAGATAAAAAAGTAATACAGCATTTTTGACAAAAAGTGATCTCCATCTATGAGGAAAGTGCAGGTGAAATGGGGCAGGCGCTGGTTACCTTATTGCCGGCGACGCACCAGGCCGCCTTTAGCTGCAGCGGCAGCTCGCGATTCTTGGGCGGCCGCACACGGAACCGCATCAGCTCTATGTAGCACGCGTCCGGCGGCTTGAACCTGCCATATATTTAAATGGCAATTGGACGATTCGAGGCGTTGTAAATAATTCATTAGATACGCTATATGCTGGCACTATTTGCCGTTGTCACTTAATAATGCAACGAAAAGCTAAACGTAAGACTTAAAAAGACGAGATAAAGGTAAATGTTGTGGTATGGTATATGGTATGCTTATTGATTATGGTTGAGCGTACTTGAGTATCTGTGATTCGGCGAACTCGTGCGGCTGAACGCAGGCGTGAAACTCTGCGTTCTCGACGCGGATCCACTCCTCGGTGGCAACGGGGATGATGTCATGGCGGCCCACCACCTCGCGACCCTGCCGCCGCAGGTCGTTCAGCCCCACTTCCACGTCCGGCATGCCTGCACACGAACCCCGCATTCGATATAGCTTTTTAAACTTCTAGGGGGTAAGCGTGCAGCTGATCGCCTTACTTTAAGCAATCACCATCGACTATAAATTGCTGGCTAGGAGTAGTAGATGTACAAGTAGGAGTATGTACTCTATGTTAACTTTATAATGTAGGGTATACATACGTATGTTAAACTTTATATTGAAATTGCTGCAACACTTAGTCATGTTTATTCAAATATGACGCACTAATGTATTAAAAATTCTAAAGCACCGACCGCTCAGGAAGCCGAGGAAGAAGATCCGCACGCGAGCTATCTGCTTCAACACGCCGCCCTCCGCGTCCTGCTCCACGTACAGCTCGTCCACCGCAGTCAGTTGCACCTGTGCACACGCCGAGCGGTCAGATCTGCCCGCTCAAGCTTGCCCCTACGTGGCACTTTACTGTGTGTCATGAGAGTTGTGGTTCTAATGCGCTCCAGCTCGACTCGATCGAACGAGTCGTCTTCGCTGCTTACACCTATTCTTAAGTATACGGCATGCATTTCGACAAGCCGCTGCGTTGGTCGCGCCGATCCATCGTAACCTGTGAAATGCGATCGATGCGACGGAGATGTGCGTGTGCGCCGGTTACCTCCTCCATTTTGTAGGTGAGCGCGCGGTCGCGATGCGCGGGCAGCCGGAACAGCGCCTCCTCTACGCAGCACGAGAACTGCTTCACGTCCTCGTAGCTCAGCGAGCCCAGCTTAAACAGCTGCGACACCTACACATCTCACATTATTGCTATTGCTAGTCTCACGACGACGTAGGTACATTTATTCTGCTATTACGTAAAACACAATCTATGGGCGAACCTGCGGCGCATGCTCGACGGGCAGGCCCAGCTTGCGCAGGTCGCTGCCGAACTCCTTGACCCCCTGGTAATCGCCTTGCATGGCGTATGCCGCGAACTGTGACAACTTGCTGGTGATGCGCTCCGCCTTCGTCACCTGCCCCGGCCTGCGAACAATGCACACATACCTCTGCACTCAGACCGCTAAAAATAGTCCCGAAGTCTCCCAAACAATATCCCAAAATTCTTTTGGGATCGAATCCAGCTTTCTGACTTTCCTCGTGATTAACTATCCAATAGATAGATTCAACCTTTTTTGGTGGAAAGTTTATAAGAAATATCAATCAAAATTCTACTAAAATCAAAAATTAAACACAGAAGTACCCGCTCAATGCGATCAAGCACTACGCAAACGCTACATAATACGCTAATTTATATCGTTCCCTACCCTACAACTTGAAACATGTCTTCATACGTTTCTAAACGCTTAATTCTTCATCACCTCTAACAAAACAATGAATAGAATGCATAAAGGTTTCTATTATTATAATAATGGCCGTTAAATAAGTCGTCTTTCAAGAATAAAAAATGGAGTAGTAAGTTCTCAAGTATAACAAGTGGAAAGAACGCGATGAATATAAGCGATGACCAACCTGACGCCGGGGCGCTCTTTGTAGAAGACGTACTGCAGCTTGACAGTGAAAATCTTGCCGAACTGGTCGAACTGCTGCGCGCCGACGTCAGACACTGAGTAGCAAGCCTGCAGCGGCAGCTCTTGCAGCGGCTCCTTGTCCGCCGCAGAGCCCAGCAACTGCACGGCCGGCGACTCGCCCACATACACCAGCCGCACGAACATTTTCTTCCAGAACCTGCTTACAATCAACGTGTCCCAGATGAAGGGCTGGATCTCGGTTCTAGGCTCTTTATACTACTGCTGGAATGCCTTAATCATTTACACATCTTTTGTTTACGTTTTATTTACCTTCAATAAACGAAGATGATAGATAGACGTTAAGCGATTTCCTGATCCCAATTTTTACGTACCTTTGACCGGTGATTTTTTTCTTATTGGGCTGTCGGAGGTGCATCTCCCAGCCCGGGCCAGTATACGTGGTGCGCGGGAAGTCCTCCAGCGGCGCCGATACGTCCTCGTCAAACAAAGGCGTGGGCGGCGTCTCCCCGCCACCACCCGAACGCCGACGGCTATCTTCTGCAATTTTATAACGAACGCAATGATGAATGAAGTCTTTAAAAAAACACAAAAAGAATATAATCCTTACTTCGTCATTTTTCGCTTCACAGACAGACAGACAGCTTAACACTTTGTGGTTAGTTATCGGTGTCGCTTGTAAAATATTAAATTAAAGAATAAAATAAAAAAGATATGCGAGTAAGCTAACCAAATTGCGTGTCGATTTCGGCCTGCAGTTCAACTTCGCCCTTGTCGAAGGGGTTGGTGCGCGGGGAGTCGGGCAGCGCGTGTGGGCGTGGTGGCGGGGCCAGCACGGGCACCGCCGACTCTGCTCCGCCTGTGTCATCTTTGGGTCTGAAAATTGAATAAGGTCATAAATATGCAGCATGTCTATATAAATGTATCGACGGATGTAACTAAACTACCTAATAAATACGGAGAACGTATCATCCGCGGAGTCTCGTGACCCCTGGCGGTTAAGACAAGGCGTGGCGGCGGGCGGTGGCGCCTGCATACTCAGGAAGGGATCAAAAGCTTCCGCCTCGAAACCGCCCGGTGCCGCCTCCTCGCCTCCATTGTCGCCCCACGCATCTGTAAGGTGATGTTACTTAATGATGGATTTCAATGCCCATGAAATTAATTTTAATAGTTTATTTTTAAGTACCCGTGTGCATGTGGCTGGGGGTTGCAGATTCAAATTTAGCGGAAAACGCGTCGAACGCATCCTCGGACGGTTGACTAGACTCATGTACCATAGTTTCGGAAGTATCCCAGCCGAGGTCAGAAGTGGACGGAACACCTATTTTGCCCTCTACGTGACTAATATCCGTATCAAAGGCGACCTCCTCATTGACCCCTGGTCCTCCTTCAGATTCCACATATATTTTTTGTTCTGCTCCTGGGAATTTTTCTGTGAGTTGGACTTTTACAACCGCTTGATTTTCTTGATGCAGAACCTCAGTATTCGATGCCATAAAAACGTCTTCAGCTTGTGATGAAAAAATATCAGAGACACCATTACCAAAGCTTGGCAAATCGTCAGTGATTTGTTCCTCAGTTTCGAATGGATTTTTTTCATATTCCGTCAATTCTTGAAAGTTTTCCTCAATATCTTCCATGAAAGGTGAAGTGTTTGTTTGTGATATATCCATGGGTTCCGAGCAATCCATAGGAACAGTAGTTTCATCCATTACATTGTCAGTGTTCACGATGCTATGTTGAAACATTGACGATGTGGAATTTATTGTTGTAATTGTACTTTTTGAAGGCTGCATTTCCGTACACGAGTCTGGATGGATATCTTCTAAATCACCACTTAAGAAATCGATTTGTTTTTCTTCTTTTTTCGGTGCGGAATACAAACTTAAAATGTCTTCCTTTGTTGATTTTGTGACTATAGGGACAGGTGCATCAAAAAGGTTTATGTCATCCGATGGCATTGCCTGTTGCGGAGGCGGGACGCTTGGAGGCGCCTCGGGTCGTGGGGGCACGGCGCTAGGCGGTGCCTGAGGTCGCGGGGGCACGACGCTAGGCGGCGCTGGCCTCGGGGGTCGTGCCGGTGGCGGCCTTGCTGGCTTATTTTTGCTATCGTCATTTTCAATCGTTTCTCCCTCCTCTTGGAACTCCGGCTCAGGCGTAGGGCTCGGAGAGTGAATATCTCGCACCGATACCGGACTGGGTGTTCGGGTTGGTGGAATGCGATCGAGTAAGTGAGTACTGGCAAATTCCATTTGACCGGTCACACTTAAAATTAAGTTTTGTGTTTCAGGAGGAAGTGAATGGGCAGGTGGATCACGATTGCACGTTTCACTTATAGTTGGACTAGGCGAATCCACTTTGGTAGAGACCAAATCTAATTCTGTTGGTTTTGTAAACTTTTCTGATTCCTGTTGACCTATAAACATATCCATTGGAGTATTATCAAAGTTTTTAGCGCCCAAATTTGTTGGGCTTTCTCCTCCAAAAATATCAGTAGGAACTATATCACCGGCAGGTGGCTCATAACTTTCTGCAAAGTCTGAGAACGGATTGCTAGCCACGAAAGGATTGTCTCCCGTTAACGCTGACGATTCAATGTCGGCCATCATAAAAGGATTAAGTACATCTGTCGTTGCCGGAGCCGTTGGCTCATTCATACTGAGGAACGGATTGTACGCCATTATGGTGATGTTTTTAAAATAATTAATTTAGAAGTTCAGATTCAAGTAACTTTAATTCTGTTTTTCCCGGATTTAGAGCCGTTGCAAAAGAAGTATCAAAAGGGTCAAAGTTCTCTTGTGATTGCGATAAACCTACAGGTTGTGGTGTAAGAGCTTTAACTTGGAAAATATCGTCTGATGTCTCTAAAAAGTGATCACCTTCAGATTCAGAAATTACTTTAGAATCTTCGACATCGAATTCTTTGGCCAATAGTTTCAATTCTGTTTTACTTGGTTTAATATTAGACGCAAAAGAAGTATCAAAAGGATCTTCTTCAACTTCCTGAACGTTGCCCTGTTCTAACTGCAGTCCCGAAGGTGTAAGTACTTTAGCTTGTATTTCAAAATTGCCAGTATTAAAGAGATCAGTTGTGTTAAAATTATTTTTTGTGCCTTTTAGTTGAGGATATTCTGAATGACGTCTTTTAGTTACGTATTTTATATTGTTTGTCAAATCTTCGTCAGAGCGAGTTCGACTCAATTCTTCGTTAATTCTGTCAATAAGTTCCCCACTCTCATTTATGTCCTCTGATATTGAAAGCTCTTTTGTGTAATATGGAGTTAAAGGCTTAATTGGCTTAGATTTGGAATCAACATTAGTACTTTCTACACCATCAACATTAAATACCACACTTTTACTAACAGTAAGATTCTCTGGTCGCGACGCTCTTCGCTCCTGTTGTTTAGGCTCGTCAGCTCGTGGATCGAAATCCGGATCACTGGGCACGCGATAGATTACGGATTGCGTGGCACCTATTAACTCTTGTTCCAATAATTTTAGTTCTACTTTTCCTGGTGCTACGACTTTGTCAACAATGGTAGTGTCAAACGGATCTATATCAGAATTGTTAGCATCCAATGGATCTAGAGGCGAATCCCCTAACTGACTTAAATCAGTACTACTTCCTCCTAATAAATCACGTGGTACTTTATTTATTCCAGTGTCAATGATATCATCCGACGTAATAGATTCTCTTACGCCCAAAGGATTTGTTAAATGTATTCTCACTGATGATTTACGTCGGTTATTTAATTTTTCACGAACTTCTTCCGCGCGAGGATCAAAGTCTTCGTCGTCTTCTAATATGGTGGGTTTTGTTTCAATTTGTATTGATTGTGTAGTCGGTATCACAGAATCAGCGAAACTAGTGTCAAAAGGATCGTCTTGATCTAAGTATGGATCTAATATTTCAATTTGGTCTTCAACAATGCCTTCAGCAAAAACAGACTCGTTTTTGTCGGCTTCAAAAGCCGACCACGATTCTTTAATGACAGGTTCGACTTTAATTTCTTTTTCTTCTAGTTTTAATACTTGAGGTTTCGTTTCAAGTGATTCTGTTGCTAATAATGTAAACTCATCATCTTCGTCTTCGTCAGTTTTTGTTTTTTTTGAGTCGCCGTTAGCAAGGTCAGAAATATTTTCTTTAGTGATGCTTTTATTTTGTTGTATAAGTGACGTATGGAGGGATACACTCAGATCGATTGGTGTTGTAATAGGAATGTCAGTATCAGCATCTAAAATACTTGATTCTATTGGTTCATCATCGGTAGTTTTTGCAACTACCGGTATTTCTGAGTCAACACTCTCTAATAAGAGATCTCCAGGAATAATTCGTTTGCGCTTTTTGGATGTGACCGTTAAATTATCAATGCGACCCGTAAGAACTTCAACGGCGACTCCAATATCTAAGGTCTTTTTGTCCCCTTTACTCTTGATGTCTTGTCCTTTGATTAACGCTTCGACATGAGATGTGTCAAACAATCCATCATCTTGAAATTCTTCAGGCGAGTCCGGTACGTAAGCTAGTTTTACTTCTCCGCGTTCAACGGCTTCCACGTAAGAAGTGTCGAAGATGTCGTCCTGTTCCTCTTCCTCTGACTCTTCATCAGTTAATCCGTAGTCACTTTTATCTTCATCAGCATCAGTGGTAGATTGTGCAAGTTGTGGGAAATCTGCCTCAGTAACTTCTACAACAGGCCTCGTGGGAACTTCCTTGATATACGGCTCCTCCTCTTTAGGTGGAACGCGTTGAAAGAATGAAGTAGATTTTATTCGATCCAAATCACCTTGAGTTTTCTTAAGTACAGAATCTATTCCTGTTGTCAAATCTTTGAATTTCGACCACTCTTCATTCTCCTTTACGGCAGCATCTCCACTTTCAGTTTGTTGCTGTTGATGTTCTCTTCTATACTTTTCTAATTCTTCTTCTGTAAAAAGTTCTTCCTCTCCTTTACGCTTAGACTTTTTACCCTTTTTCTTCTTTTTAAGACCTTTGGGTAATTTTAGCATTATATGAGTTTATTTTATTAGATCTGGGTTGCTGAAACAAAAAAAAAACACGTCTAAATATATTTTCATACCGAATAACATGCAGAAGTTTGCTAAACTGAGGCCAACCCTATTAGTAGAGAAGCACCTAGACGGTAATATATATTCTTACAACAGCATTTCGTATCTCAAATCTTCTACTTAGTAGACTGAAGAACATGTAGAATAACCTTTAGTAATGAATCAGATCATAATAGCAGTACATGGCAAGACAATCATATAATTAATGGATCCTTCTCTCTCCCTTCTCTTTCTGGTACGAGATACGACGACAAAGGAGAAACGTACTAACTACCAACTTCTATCTATGAAAATGCAAAACAGTTCAAAAGCAACATAATATTATAATAAATAAAAATGTATCGACCCTAGGAAATAAACTTCGCTTTAAAATTTCGCAACTACGCAAATTTTATTCTTTAATTCTGTGTTTGAAAATATAACGGTAATTATATACTAGTTTATATCAACTATATGGCCGATGGCCAAGGGTCGTGCGAGACCGCTTCGTTCCGCGCCGCCCGTAGCCCGCGGCCGGGTATCGATTGCTCGGCTCGTCTCATTCCCCGTCGCCCGCTTCCCGTCCCCTTCCCCGTCCTCGTCCCCGTCCCCGTCGCTCGTCGCTCGTCGCACCTGCACTTTTGCTGCGTAAGCAGGTCCTAATTATTATGCAGGGATATAAAATAAAAAAAATATACCCACTATGACGGCTACATAGTTGAGTAGTAACATTTTAGCAGCAAAGATGATTCATGAAGTATATGTACACGGCGGCGGTGTAAGATGTAAGACTACGAGATGAACGGAGTGGGAGGCGAGCTGTGCAGCAGGTTGTGACGGCGAATGATGGTTGGCGAGGGAGAGTGACGGCGAGTGAAGGCGGAGAACGGCGGCCGCGGGCACGGCGAGCGCGGGACACGTACCGAACCGACTGCAGCCGCCGAGACCTACGGCTACCTCATACGACTACCGCGCTACGGCTAACGGCTAGGCGTCAGTACCTTCATGGCAACACGCGGATGGCCACGGACTCGGTCAGGGCGAGCTGATCACTGTGCTCGGGGCGCCGCCGCTCGGCACTGAGCGAGGTGCGCTATCGACCGTGCACCGCCCGCCCCCGCGGATCTGCGCGCGCATCCCTTTGCTTTCGGTCGTAATACTTGCAGTGACACCCCCCACCCCTTACCCGTTCCAAGCGTACCCGCTCGTCGCTTCTCAGCCCCTTAGCTATTTTGCCCTAGTTATATAATCACTGACATTCTTTTTCCTGCGTCTCGAATAGATTTCCTTTTTCTCATAACTCACTATAAAGCTAACAAATTGATTACATTGCATGCCATTGCAGCCACGAACACTCACGCTTCCTACAAAATTACAAGTTATTCTGAAGAAGAAAAAATATTTAACTAGATCATCCTCTGCTAGGGTCAATCCTACCCATTTGTCTCAAGATAAAGTAAGAAAATTAAGCAGTAATAATTCGGAGGTTTGTAAAATACGTGGTATTGTGACAGTAGCCGGAAGTGACGGAAGACAGGATAGTAAGATTTGAAGAGGTGGCAGTACGGGAGTTGTCGAAAATTTTGAGACGGAAATAAAATTTAAGATATGGGGGGGGGGGAAAGATGTAGAATAGTTAATCATGGAGGTTGTAAATGACGGTAGGGTCAGTAAACCTTAGGTGATGGTTAAAGTTCATTGTGGTAAAAGGTATAGGACAGTATTAGGTGTGTGAAATTACAATTGGAAAGCTGTGAAAGGAGATAAAAAGTTTAATAAGAGTTGTTATGAGGTAAAGGTTGGTATGCAGGTGTGATACAGTCAAAATTTTGTCGTTTGCGCTTCACAAGAGCTATTGCTGAACCAACTTCAATGTAGTCCTATTATTATCATATGGAAGTGTAGAAGTGGAAGATGCAGTGAAGTCCCACTCTGTAAGCATCTGCGACTCTCTTCAAAACCTCCCTATTTATTTACAACAAAAAAAACTTCCATACTAACTTTCACCCCCAGCTTTGGACCTTAGAGAATAAATTTAGAAAGATCCTTCAGCAGACCTCGCCTCGTAACTGAAAAAACAATGCAAATTTTCAAGTGTCATACGCCTCGTATTTTTACTGTGAAATATTCCTCGTGAAGGCATATTCATTGGGGATAATGACTAGGACACAATGACTTGGAGGTGCTTTTTCAAATACTATTATAATAATAAACTGCTAGTCATAGTATGTCGCGATGTCATGAACACTGACTACTAGTAGTACTAGTGTACACTGTGGCCAACAATACCAACAGAATGATACACTCACTCTTCACAAGTCAACAAATACTATAAAAATTCTGTCGCATTTATAATCTGTTTTTTGTAATCGTAATTGTTAAAAAGCCACAAATAGCGTTGAGGTAAACTGCCGGAAAAAAAATGCCAACGTCCTGTGAGGACGTCATCGGACAAAACTCGAGTACGAGCGCCGCGCAGTGCCCGAATCGACGTAGTAGATCGCGTGCGCTCAGTGTGGAGTGCGCGATGGTGTTCGGGCGCGTGGCGCATCAGGGCTGGCTCCATAAGCGCGGCGAGCACATTCGCACGTGGCGCGCGCGCTACTTCCTGCTATACGAGTGCGGCGAGCTGGTGGGCTACCGCACCTGGCCGGCGGACGTGGCCGGCGAGAGCGAGCCGCGCGCCCCCGACAATCGATATAGCGTGCGCGGCTGCCGACTGCGGACCAGCGACCGGCCGCGGCCGCACGCCTTCGTGCTGTGCCTTCGCGCCTACGAACCTGTCGAACGGCACTTCTCCCTCGACTCCGACGATCAAAGGTTACAACTTATTTCAAATCAATATTGTAGGAAGAAAGTGATTATATTATTGACATTTCAATATCCGTATGGTCGGGCCTGAGCATGGTAGGCGCACGTAGGGCTAGCAAATTACAAAGTGCTGTAAATTTAGAATTGCGTACTACTCCATGTGGGACGAAGGAAAGTGACACATTTGAAATTATAAAACGACGATTAGTTTTATTGACATTGTCATAAAATGGTTTGCAAACTGATTTCCTTGACCGTACGAGTACAACAGGAAAGGATAATTCAAAAAAGATAAATGCATGTTGTGTTGAATCGACACGAGATGGCGCCATCGATCATGCATCGGTCACCCCGCCCACAATCAATTCGAAGCAAGAGCAAACAAAACGTAGTTAGTGTTTGTAGCCATTGCAACGGATATCGTTCAAGTGGCAGCCGGTTGTCTTCCAACAAGAGGTGGCAAGCTTCGCACCTTACATATTGTGTAAGTTACTGCTGTCCTTTGTATGTACACACCGCGCGCTCCGTTCAGCAGGTCACACTGGATGACGGCCATCAGTGAGGTAGCGGAGCGCCTCCTCGGTTCTCCTGCGAGGGAATCTTATCTCATGGTATCGTATTTTTATGGTAGTATTGTTCAGTTAAACTTTGTCAACATGGCCCCCTCATCGAGTTTACCTCCCCTTCACATCCCTTTCTCATTAGAAAGCGTGAAATTAGAAAGGGACTAGACATTGGCCTCCGACATGAAGTCATCAGACGAATCGCGGTAATACTGCCACTTGCTCCAGTACACTCCCATACGCCTAGTCTAGCGTCCAATCGTGCGGCAGCGACATGCTGCTGCGAACACGTAAACCGGTATATGATTTTGAAGTTATTTTAGGTTGTAGATGAATTACATATTTTATGTAATTCTGTCAGCAGGCTCACCGCCAAGCCGACAACGGCCGAACATACTCTTTTCTAGTGGTTTTGAAATCTCTGTAAAATCATTGCGTATATATATAGAAGTTTGTATTAAAGATCAACAGATATACGATTACTCGTTATATTGCCAGAATGTCATACATACAACTATATCTTGGAATATATAATACGAACTATCACTAATTCAATTCTTTAATTATCATATATATAATAGCAAACACATCATGTTTCTAGAGTCTGGACAATTACGAATTCGTAAGAATGTTGGGACGCGGTGCTTTCGGGAAAGTGATGCTGAGCCGGGAAAGGAGCAGCGGCAAGCTGTACGTCATCCAGGTAGTGAAACGCCGAGCCAGCTGGGGCGGAGGCAGCGGCTGCGGCAGCGGAGGTGGCAGCGGCGTAGGATGCGGCGGCGGCCACCACGTGCTCGAAATGTCCAGTCACCCCTTTCTCACGGTCGGTCTCATGCACTTACCATCATACTAGTTAAACATCATTTCACTTCCTTTATAAACATACCTTTTGAGACTGATGTTTGTACTTGTGGTAGCTAAATATCTAAGTATATTGTGGACTTTACGTTTGCTTGAAACGGGGTTACTTTCCTTTTTTTTAACTAGAGTCGTATTAACTGTATTGTCACTTTTAAAAAACGTATCACAATAAATGAGTAAACAGCAAGGGTGTGGCCGGCATATGGGTGCGTGTGGGTGTGGCGCAGGCGCTGCGGCACTCGTTCCAGACGGCGCGGCACGTCTGCTATCTGATGGAGTTCGCCAACGGCGGCGACCTACAGCTGCACCTGGCTGAGGCGGGCTCCTTCCCCGAGCCGCGCGCGCGCTTCTACGCTGCCGAGATGACGGCGGCACTGGGCCACCTACACGACGAGGGCATTGTGCACCGTGACCTGCGCCTCGAGAACGTTCTTCTGGACCGCCATGGACACATCAAGATCACCAACTTCGGCTTCAGCAAGGTTCGCCCTTCGATCGACTTGGCAATTTTATACATGAAACGTCCGAGATGCCCGCCACCCCTCCCATTTCACGTATGTGTGAAGTTAATTCAATAGAACGTGACCGTTTGATGATGATATTGCAGGCGGACATGCGGTACGGCGACACGACGGGAACGCACTACGGCGCGCTCGAGTACCTGGCGCCCGAGCAGCACGCCGGTCTGCCGTACGGGCCCGCCGTCGACTGGTGAGCGTCGCCGCCACCGCCTCTCTGCCCTTTGGCGAGGGCATGCGACATACGTATACGCAATTGCATATGCGTTGCCTACCTTTAATCGACGGAGAACAGGATGCACAGAAAGAAAAAACATTTTCCCTTTCCATGCATCCTCTCATCCGGAAAATGCACTTCCACTTCCCATCTTTTACTTATAAGAAAAAGGATGGGAAGGGAAAGAGGACTAAATTAGGCCTTCGGGACGCACACTCATCAGACGAATAGCGGAATTGCTTCCACTTGACGCCTGTCTTCTGTGTGGTCGTGGTATTTCACCGGGCGAGCCGGGCCAATTCGTGCGAAGATGTTAAAGCGGGCTCTACCACTGTTAAGTTTAGGTGTTCGCACGCTGACCGACAGGGCAGGCAGTTCAGCGCCAAGCTTGTCAGCGGTGAGTTTTAGTTCGGGCAGTTTGAGTATCGCGCTGATTGAGTCGAGTCCACACCGCGAATCGACAAGGTCTGAATACGCTGACAATGTCGGTGCAACGCGTATGGCCGCTGACACATTCACTGTCTCTTTTAAACGCTTCCAAGAAGTTAATACATTTTGAGTGTCTGCGCCAAGGGTCAACGAGCGGTTGGTGTGACTCTTAAATCGGATATAAAGTTGTTGAGTTTTGCGTGGGGTGAGACAGGTGGGCGTTGGGCGTGGCGCTGTACCACATGGTGTGCGGTCGACTGCCTTTCGCCGCCGTCGACACGGTGCCGCGCCGCCTGCTCTACGACCAGGTGCGAGGAACTCACCTAATATCTACTCCTCTAAATGTTGTGTTAATCAAATCAAAACATTTTAAGTACTTGTACCTAATTTAATGTACGGCTCTGGTGTTTCGAGTTGCCGGCACTGTAATGGCGGTGAGGGCGCGCATGGGTTCAGGTGCGGTTCCCGAGCACGGTGTCGGTGGAATGCCGCGCGCTGGTAGCCGGCCTGCTGGCGCTGCGACCCGCTGAACGCCTCGGGGCCAGTCCCGACGACGCGCTCGACGTCATGCACCACGCTTTCTTCGCCTCCATCGAGTGGAACGATCTGCTCGCCAAAAAGGTAACCACCTTTTTACCACCATATTTTTTTTATCTGTCACCCCTAGGTTCCGTAAATGGTAGGCGACTCATTGAGCTACTAATCATCTATACATCGAGCGAGCTAATGTATAAATGATAATGTGGTACTCCCATGTAACAGCTATCTTCTATGCATTATCGACCAGTACCGTAAAGTTATGGGCATGACGTAGTGCGCCGCCTCTAGTATCGTGTTAGTTCTACTTGTTGTCGTAAAGCAGCGTCCGCGCCCCCGCCGCCAGGTCCCGCCGCCGTTCCGGCCGCCGGTGGACGCTGACACGGACGCCCGCTTATTCCAGCTGTCACGCCTCAGCCGCAGTCTGCAGCCGCCGCCCGACGCACTCTGCTCACAGACAGGTAGTCATTCTCACTTCACATAAAACTTAACAAGAACGGGTCAGAACCGACCTTATGCTCAGGTTACGCTCGTAATTAAGTAAGTGCTTACTCTAACTTGGTTTTGGAGACCAAAATTACTGTTTAAAATATATATTCATCCCTGTTATAATGTTTAACAAAACAGTGATAACAATGGACATAATTTTGTCGGACTGAATCTGTCTTGTTTTGTCAAATCTAGTGTAGTGTGACGTTTTCTATGGCTATAAGTGGCTTTATGTTCTACGTACTTTCTAAAAGACCAAATCGCAATAACAGTCAACGGGCCAGCGAAGTTTGTCGGACTGTAGGTGCCTTTTTGTGTTGTCATTTTTTTTAAATAATTCTTTCGCTTTTTTGGTTTAATCAATATTTTTGTGAGCGACAGAATTAAGTGAATAGGAAGAGAAGTGCGCTGCGACTATGCCACGCCCCGCGCAGTGCAGCGCAGTCACAGTCGCCGTCGCCGCCGCCGCACCACACACGACTGCCTCACCTCAATAATAAATACGACACAGTGGCCAGACACATGAATATTTGTATGGTCAAATGACAATATTAATTTATAATATCTTGTTGTATACGATCTATATTTATATATTTTATTATAACAAAACTGTAACTGGTCGGTTAAACAAGAATATCTGAGCCAGAGACAGAGGCCGGTTAGTTATGACAAAAAATATGTCATATAAAATGTTAAAATCTGGATGACGAACTTTGCACGGTATTTTGTTTTTAATTGTGTTTTTTAATTTAGGTACGAATTACTAATAAAATGATGAAATATGAATAATGTTTTTCGATCTTACCGATAGAAAAAGTTAAGTTTATGTTTAGGTTGATTATATATATATATATATATTATACAAGAATTGCTCATTTAAAGATATAAGATAAAATTAAGCAAATGACATGACACCTACAGTACGAAAAGGATCTTTTGAAATTTTTTGACTTTGACAAGGGGTATTCTATAGTTTGGCTAATATTCGCCGGGTCAGATAGCCTTGTCCAATAAACACCTATGTATAAACTCTTAACAATAAATCAATAAGACAGTAAATGACATTGTCGATCTGTGACATGTGTTTATTATTACCCGGAACAAACGCGTCCTTGCGGACAGACAGACGGACAACACTTAATAAATATGGTTTTTGTTATTTTGTGATCAGGAATGCAAACGCAAACAAATGTATTTCCGTTGCTTCCCCTTCATGCATCTCCTTATCGGCAGCTTTTACATTTTGAAGTTTTCGGCGACAAAGTCATAGCCTTTTCTCGACTGTCCAAGACTAATTGGCCTAAACAAATGACCGACTTTGTCGATTGAGGTTTTGTTCGATTCGTATTCTTCCCTGAGCGTCAGAGGTAAAATTATATCTTAGTAATATTATAAATGCGAATAATATAATAAAACACACTTTGTGAACTTAGGCTATAAAAATATCAATTCGTCAAAAACGAGTTAGTATCTAGCACTCCAGAATTTTTACCATTTCTTAATCTCTCATCTTCAAAAAATGTTTTCGATTTTATATACTAAAATAAAAAAGTGTTATTGTGTTCTATTCGGGTTTATGTTATAACATTACCGATAGCTGTGGTCAAAACAGTTGTTTTTTTTTCAATAAATGAGTATTACACTACACTAGAGCACTAATCATTTGTGTATAAAGGAACGTCTCAGGGAAATAAAAAACAAAAAACATGAAACAACGCCATTTATTCGACTAGCGGCAGACATATGGCACTAATTTGTCAAAATAGGTTATTATACAACTAAATAAATAGCCCTGTGCCTAACTTCAGATTAGTCGGATTTCTCTTTCCCACCTATGCATTGCTTATTTGTCTACGTCAGTCTACGTTTATTGTTTTTCATCAAACAGTCCTACTTGACATTGTCGCATAGCTACCGCGAGGCTACGTCGCTAAATCGTGTCGTTTTCTAAGACGAGAAAACGTTAAAATTATTATAAAATAAGTGTTTTGTACAAAAAAATGTGCTATACATATGTTGACGGTGTAATTCAGTACAGGTGAAGCACGCGCTTAAAGTGTCATATTGAAACGTGGTGGTCGTGTGGCTAGGTAAGCGTACTTTTAGATTGACGAGCAAGTGTTGTGTGAAGTGGCTCGGTTGGGCGCGGGCAGACTTCAGCCATGGCGGAGGCCGAGGCGCCCGGAAACATTGTAAAAGAGGGCTGGTTGCAAAAGCGTGGGGAACACATCCGCAATTGGCGAGATCGCTATTTCATTCTGTTTGACAATGGTGACTTAGTTGGGTTCAAAACACAGCCAGAGCGCAATAACTACCGCGACCCTCTGAACAAGTTCACAGTGCGAGACTGCCAGATCATGGCCGTGGACAAGCCGCGGCCGCACACCTTTACAATCCGCGGCCTGCAATGGACCACCGTCATCGAGCGCAACTTCTCCGTCGACACCGACAGGGAACGGTCAGTTTGTTTACTCTGATGATGCATGCTAATACTCAACACATAGATACCCATAGATGAAGGATTTCATACAAGATTTACGACTAATCTGAGAACCATTTTCCAAATGTCAGTAATATGCGTAACGCAAATGTTTACCAGTGTAAAAAAATATCGAATAATAAATAAGTAAAATGACCTAAAGTTATTGTAACAATGTTAATTATTGTTAATTTATTATTATACGAGCTTTTGCCCGCGACTTTGTCTGCGCAGAATTTTAATAAAGTATCTTATGTGTTGCCCAAGACTATGGTCGATATCTGTGCCAAATTTAAACAAAGTGTTTTGAACAGTTGCAGAGTTATTGAGTAAATATGTAAATCATAAGTATCCCACGGGAACCATGACATCTATACCAAATTTCATATCCTATCTATGTTCTGAAAACACCTTCTAACAAACATTCATCTAATCTGTTTTGTTTCTTGTTTATGGCTCCATCATCACAACAAACATCAATCAAACATCCATCAAATCCATCCAAACATTTTTTAACAAAATTACTATGTATAATTTGTTAATGATTTACAAATTACATTATAACTTGGATAAACTAGTTGTGGTTAAAAAGATCAAGGGCAAAATGTCACAGGGACGATCACCTACCACCCATCTGTTTCACTCATATGTAAAGGCATTTCAAGACAAGCATCACAAATATATCTTTAAAACGGTAAAACAGTTTTTAAATTGGTCAAGTAGTTTTTTAGTTTATTCGTTACAAATCAAACTACAAACCTTTCCTCTTTGTAATACCAACATAGTACAGTTAGTGTGGAAAAAGTACCTTTTGTCTATGGTTATGGGGGTTTGGATTGGTTGACGATATAAAGTCACTTATGAGACATACTATAATTGAATACAATTTATGAACTTTGTCATACAACACTTGTTAAGTTTTTTACTCTTCTATATTCTGCTACTGTTGATCACTTTTCAACATGTCCTTAATCTATCTATGTTAATATAAAAAGGGAAAAGCTTTGACTGTTTGCATTGAAAAGGCTCCGAAACTACTAAACAGATTTGAAAATGCTTTCTCTGTTGGAAAGTTAGACAATACCCGGGTGACATATGTCATATTTAGTACTAGATTGTTTACCGCAACTGCTATGCTATATTATAAGGAATTAGTTACTGCTAATGATGTATTTTGGTTTAGAGAGGAGTGGGTTGCCGCCATCCGGTACGTGGCGTCGCAGCTGAGCGGTGCGGGGAGCGCGACGGGTGCGACGGGCGCGGTGGGAGCAGGGGGTGCGACGGGCGCGGGGGGCGCAGCGGGCGATGCGGACACCGACGACTGCGACATCGCGCAGCTGGGCACCAGCTTCCGCGACCCCCGGCGCATCGTGAGTCCCACCCCATTACGTTGATCTCGCACCCCACCTCGCACCCCACCTCGCACCCCCGACATGACACTGCCCCCTCTCCACTCACAGACTAAAACTATCTAATACAATTTTTTTTACAAAGAAATTGTTAATAATATAATAAATAACATGATTTTGGCGATGACAATGATAGTAAATATTAGTAAGATTGTTTATTATTTGTTGTTCAGACCCTGGAAAAGTTCGAATTCGTGAAAGTACTCGGGAAGGGCACGTTCGGGAAGGTGGTTCTGAGCCGCGAGAAGGGCACCGGGAAGCTGTACGCCATGAAAATCCTCAAAAAGCACCTCATCATCCAGAAAGACGAGGTCGCGCACACTATCACCGAGAACCACGTGCTCAAGAAGACCAAGCATCCGTTCCTCACGGTTACTACATATTTCATTACTTGCTGTAAATTCGAGCTCTGATCAGTTTGTGTACGCGGACTGAGCACAGCTCATTCCGGCGCACGCCGCTCCAACATTTCATTCCAGGCTGGATCTGTTTTGGTAGGCTAGACACGGGGGCTATTCCAAAAGTTTGCGAAACGATAGGGTTACAATGAGAGAAAAAAGAATTATATTCCGATCTAATTAATGACACAATACACCGCGAACTGTTGAAGGCCCATCGGACCTCAAAGCTTAATCATCTCCCGATGTTCTCCGATACAACTGACAAGCCGACCGGTTAATGTGATCATATTGTGATGCTCGAACTCCTCCGCCAAATTAACAAATAAAGAGCAATCTTTTAATTAACATCGTTTACCGGAGCGCAAGAGGGGAAGGGTGTGGGCGATGTGCAGCGGGGCAATGGGCGGGGCAATGGGCGGGGCAATGAGCGGGGCAATGGGCGGGGCAATGAGCGGGGCAATGGGCGGGGCGCGGGGCAGGCGCTGCGCTACTCATTCCAGACGGCGGACCGCGTGTGCTTCGTGATGGAGTACGCGAACGGCGGCGAGCTGTTCTTCCACCTGTCGCGGGAGCGCGCGTTCTCCGAGGAGCGCACGCGCTTCTACGGCGCGGAGATCGTGTCCGCGCTCGGCTACCTGCACGCCGAGGGCATCATCTACCGCGACCTCAAGCTGGAGAACCTGCTGCTCGACAAGGACGGCCACATCAAGATCGCCGACTTCGGCCTCTGCAAGGTTCACGACCCTCCTTCTATCCTATCGCATCTTTAAACTGTAGCACGGCCACCACTCCACGAGCGACATTCACTACGATTATTATTGGGAAATATGGAAATAAATAAAACGTTATAAAATATAAAAAGGTGACGTCTGGTCGCAGGTGAACATCACGTACGGCCGCACCACCAAGACCTTCTGCGGCACGCCCGAGTACCTCGCGCCAGAGGTGCTCGAGGACCTCGACTACGGGCCCGCCGTCGACTGGTCTGTGCCCCCACCCCCACTGCTTAACTTCCAACTTCTCCTACCACATATTCTGCGGAGCTCGCTTTTGGATCCCTAGCAGTATATAATCATTGTCACAGAATTCTACATTACAGTTAAGACAGTCAGGTCTCGTCCAGAAATTGTGCTTACTTGTTAGAGTTTTTATTTTTTGTTACATGTACTAAAATGTATAAAGAATGGCTTGCGAAGGAATGCGCGGGCGCTACGAGCGCTGTGAGCTCAGCCAGCTCCCGGCCGGCTCACAGCCAGCTCGCAGCCAGCTCGCTAAGCAGCTCCGCGTGCGCAGGTGGGGCACGGGCGTGGTGCTGTACGAGATGGCGTGCGGCCGTCTGCCCTTCTACAACCGCGACCACGAGGTGCTCTTCTCCCTCATCCTCAGCGAGGAGGTACGTGCCGCCCCCCACCCCCCACCCCCTCTGCGCGACCCCGCACCCCCAGCACCCCCCACACCCCAGCTGACGAGAGCGCCGCGTCTGCCCCCAGGTGCGGTTCCCGCGCACGCTGTCTGCGGAGTGCCGCGCGCTGCTCAGCGGCCTGCTCAACAAGGAGCCCGCCAAGCGGCTGGGCGCCGGGCCCGACGACGCGCTCGACATCATGCATCACTCCTTCTTCGCCTCCATCAACTGGGCCGACCTCGTCGCCAAGAAGGTGC